GATACACCTTTTGCCGGTAACGAGGCGACGGCCTACTGTGATATGAACCGGTCAGTGAACTGTTCCCTGCCCTCCTCCACGTCCTTCCGTGCAAATGAGTCTCCGACCTCCCTCTCCTCTTCCGCCTCCTCCTCCCTGTCCACATCCGCTGTCTCCTCTGTGGCGGCTGCTTTAACTACGTCGACAACGGCAGCAATCAGCAACGGGGCCCAGTTGGCCAATGAGAATCCAGAGTTGGGACGGCCGCCACTGGGCTCCCCTTACTTCCGTGAGGTGATTGGTCTGCCGGGCGGTTCGCTGGCCCGTCAACAGCGAAGGGTCCGCAGCGCCTCCGGTGCCAATATGCCCCTCCTCTCCTTCATTGACAGGCCCACAAAAATGGCCCGTACAGGCGCCGAGGAGCTTCGCAACCCCTCAGCAGATCTGGCCTTTTCAGTCCACAGTCTCACAGGCATCGACTGTTCGCCGTCGGCGGAGAACCAACAGCACCACATCAAAAACGAATCCGGAGATGTCGTCAGTGCTGCGTCTGCGGCTGTGGCACCGTTTTCCAGCAGCCAGTTGGCTGGGGGCGAAGCTGACCCCAATATTGACTCAAAGAAGTCTTTCCTCAATGAGATTGCCCTGGGATTCGGGAATTTTCTGCAACTCTATTCTCAACATACAGGTGAGCGACAATGCCTTCCGAAGGGCAAATATTTGCGTTTGCCATTATGAGGCGCCGATACTTGAGAGGTATCATGTAAGCTTCCCACGCTTGCACCCCGGATCCGAATCCCGGTCAGCGCACAGGTTTTAGGCAAATCAAAGGTGCACAGCTACAATTCCCACAAATAAAATGAATTGAATAAACTGAAAGAGTGATGCAAGGGGAGGGGCCAGTCTCCTTTGCATCGCCTTCGTATCTGAAAAAAAGTAGGCTAATTGGTGGTTTGGCAGATTTGAGTACCTTAACGGAGGAAAATGCTTGGCGACCTCGATGTAATTCGAACTTATCACAGCAAGGCCAAGACCTGAGTACAGCAAAACTGAACCACGAGGTCCCGACTGAAAACCCTGAGTCCCAGCCACCAAGGGACTAATAACACATCGAGTTAGCATCAGGAGAAAGCTATGGTATATTGAAGATCATTAATCACTATATAAATCCATTATCCCAAACTGCAGTCTTCACATGAAATGGTCTTTGTGCTCCCCACCACTTCACCCAGACTTCTTCGCTAGCCATCTTTTGCTCTGCACGAGCACCATCGTCATCCCACATTTTGTTTCTCAAAATCATTGTGTTTTTTGTTTTTATTATCCTCCTTCCTTTACTTTTCCTGGTGATGCTGATACGAGTAGTAATGCTAACACTTATACTAGCGATACTGGGGCACACACTGATCTGGTTACGAAAGTGCTCGTCCCATTTTGCCTTGTAGCTCAATTCAGAGGCCTCAAAGACAATTGCATAGTGACTTGTACTATATGGTGGAGTGGAACCGACAAAGATATGGGGCTCTGAAAGACAATTTCTGGCTTATTAGCCGTTATCAGCCAGTCGCACCTAATCCCAGGGGTGGCGGCCCACGAGGTTCCTACTGACAACCTTTGGTCACTGAGCGCAACACTCTACCATTGCACCTCAGGCCTGCTGTTTATGTCGGTTGGGATCGAGAATGTATTGAATGGTAGGGTGCTCAGCGATCTGGTTACGAAAATGCTCGTCCCGTTTTGCCTTGGAGCTCAACCTACAGCCCTCGCAGGCAGTCGCATATTGAAATGTAAAACATATGCTGCAGTGGAACTGATAAAGACAAGTGTTCAAGTTGGCAAAAGTCGCAGTTTCGAGAGATGAATCTGAAAACATATTTATACCCAACAGACCGAGTTACGAGGCCCTCACTGTGAATCACGAGTTTAATCACATTTGGATTAAGTCACCTGCTCAGCCTTCTGCGATTTATGGAATCCATCAATCCTGAATAAGGAAGCTGACTACCCAAACAGGATTTCCTAAGCAGTCAATAAAGAATCTACTGGATTGGTATCAGACACAATTAATTAGTAACGGAGGGTTGGCAGGTATGAATAATTTGGTGGATCCGATTGCGGTAAACCCGATGACCTTGGTGGAAATATATCATTCTATGTCAGCTTCCCGCATATAAATACGTTTCAGGATGCTGGGCAATTAACTTGACCCAAGTTTGCTTAGTCTTTCTGCATCGGACAGGCTCTCCTGGCTTAGGGGGTTTGAGCGCTGGCTTTACTGAAGACTGTCAGGTTTTTGAATTCTACCACGGCCGCTGAATTTTTCGCAATCGTGTTCAGTTAATTATGACAGCTTTTTTACAATCTGACCATCCCCGTAACGGGGTGGATTAACTTATCCACCCAGTCCTTCTTACGGAAATCGACAGTTTTAACGCAAGAAATTCCTTAAATGTCATGGTTCGAAGCCGCCGAGTTTTGCCCACAATTGGGTCGATTATACAACTCGTCCGAAAACAATTCTCAATTACTTGGACCTGGAAAGCATCGGCTGAATGCTATAGTCATTGCTTGAACAAGCCTGCTTGGATAGTCAGCTTACTGTATCAGAAGCGCCGGAGTCCGTGCGTTGCAGTAGGGTCAACTGGTCAATTAATCACTATAGGACAAAAGGTCGGACTTTCGGTTGTGGTTTCGTAGCTCGGATG